ATGATGTTCTTATTTCACAGACGAGGATACTGAGGTTCAGAGAGGTGCCCCAGCTTCTACAGGAGCTGCACCCGCCCTCTCCTACCCCCGCCCTCCCCTTTCCCCTCCACACACACACACAAAGCACCGCTGAGACCCAGCCCATCTGTGGCTGCTGGTGTTTATTCTGCATGCAAGGGTGGGCAGGGCCCGGAAGGCGAGGGCGGACAAAGTTCGGTGACTATAAAGGCGAGTGGTGCAGCGTCTGGTCTATCCCAGCTCAGATCACAACCAGCACAACCATGCCCCACTCAGGGCCGACGCCGCTGCATCTTTCTCCGATGCTGTTGCTGCTGCTGTCGCTTCTGCCGCCTGAGGGCGCCCTGTCCTTGGTCCTGGAGCTCAGTCCTAGCCTCCCGGGATTCCCAGACGCACTCCCGGGTCTGGGCGCATCTAGATTCCGGGAGATGTGGAAACGCTCCGAGAACCTGAGGAACCAGCTGCGAGTAAACCAGAGCTGGGAAGACTGGAGCCCTGACCCCAGCACCGCCTCTGTTGTCTGGATCCTGACTCCCGAGCGTGAGTGAATTCTTGGAGACCCCCAGGGAAGATGCTCCACGTCTAACCAGTGGTTCTAACGCAGAGACCTAGGCCCACAACGGTCCCTCAGTTTCCCCACCCATGAGCAGGGTAGGAATGTCTGGTCCCCCGTTAGGGCTGATAGCGATGCTGGCGGCGCCGCTCGCAGCCAGACCAGGCTAGGATCAGCCAACGTGGGCTGTTATAACCACTTCCCGATGGGAGATGGGGAAACTGAGGCCCAGACCGACCATCGACTCTCCCGAAGGCTAGAGCGCTTGGAGAACCCAGGAGCGGGCGTTGGGGGAGCGTCGTCCCTGCTCTCGGAGAGGCAGGGGAAAAGGGGCGCTATCAGACAAAGGACCCAGTGCAGGGAGGATAGAGCCTTGGCGACGGTTAGGACTGCCCGGGCTGGTTCTGAATCTGACGCAATCGCGCCCAATTACGCCGAGGACTCCTGCGGGAGGTGCGCTAGCGGGGATTTTTCCCATCTCCGCTTGGTCCACGGAGGTCGCACGGGTGCAGAGGGCTAGGCAAGGGATTGCGCTGGGAGCGGGAGGGGCTGGAAGAGGGGGTCCGGCTAGGGAGAGCGCTCTAATTCTGTCCTAATCCACATAACCCCACCTGTGCTGGTCGACTCCAGGTAAACGCTCGCCCTCTCTGAATTTAGAGATTGGCGCAGGGCCCTCAAACCACAGCCTCCCAGAAACCCTCAGACATGTACCAGCCCGGGACTGGGGGGAGGGGTGGTCTGAGGAGTCTGGGAGTCTAAGGAATCTGGGATGCAGGGGCCCTGGGAGGTCTGCTCCTCATTTCCCAGATAAGGAAAAAGAGCCTCAGCGCGTTGAAGACACTTTTCCCGTCACAGTAGTTGGCTGCTGCATCCCCAGCCCTGGGCACTTAGTAGGCCCTCAATAAAATGTTTTGACTGCCAGAAAGAGGCCGAACCCGCGTTTGAATCTGTCTCTAAACACCGTGTATTCACTCAGTCATTCATTCAGGCTCCTACTGTGTGCCAGGCACTGGTGACAAAGCAGACAGAGGTCTCTGTTGACAGTCTAGGAGACAAAAGATCCGCCAGGAAATAAAATTGGGAGCTACCTACTTCGGGCGAGCTGGAGGGAGGAGAAACGGCCAGCCATGGTGGGATCAGGGGGGAGAGTGTTCCCGGTGGAGGGAGCAGCTTGTGCAAGGGACCTGAGGCGGGATGTGGCCTGCTGTGTCGGGAACAGGGCCCCTGCGCCCAGGCCGCTGTGACCGGTTCCCTCTCTCTCCGCAGTGCGACCCGGCCCCGGCGGCCACGTGCACCTGCGCATCCCCCGAGCCGCTCTGTCTGCGGGGCGCCCCGCCGGCCCTCGCCTGCACCGGGCCTTGCTCTGGCTGCCCCCGACGGCGCCGAGCCCGCGCGACGTGACGCAGCCGCTGCAGCGTCTGCTTGCCCGTGAGGGCCCTGAGCCGCTGGTACTGCGCCTGAGACTGTCACCGCCGCCGTCGGACGGAGTGCTGACGGCGACGCCTCCCACCCAGGCCCGACTGGAGGTGCACCTGCGGCCGCGCACCTCTAGGGGGCGCCGCAACAGACATGCGCGTACGGCGGAGGCCTGCGCGACCGGGAAGGCTCACTGCTGCAGCGTGCGGAGCCGGAGAGTGACCCTCGAAGAGCTAGGCTGGGAAGACTGGGTGCTGGCACCGCACACGCTGGACGTGCGCGCATGCGTCGGCGCGTGCCCGCCCCGCTTCCGGTCGGCTAGCGCGCACGCGCAGATCAAGGCGCGCCTGCACAACCGGGATCCCGGTTTCGCGCCTGGGCCCTGCTGCGTGCCCTCCAGCTTCGAGCCTGTGGTGCTCATGCAGCGGGACAGCGACGGCCGCGTGACGCTTACGTCCTACGACGACATTCTCGTTAAGGACTGCCACTGCGCTTGAGCGGGCGCCCTGCAAGGGGCGGAGCCTCAGTGGTCCGCCTCTGCGCAATGGGCTCGGAGAGGCTGCTCAGTGCGTACGTGGCCCCCTTGCCTGCGTAGAGTTGTATTTGTGACTCTGTTTATTGCTAAGGAACCCTGGTGAGGCAGTAGTTAAAGCACTCGGCTGCTAACTGAAAGGACGGCTGTTTGAACCCGTGAGCCACTCTGGGAGAAAGATGTGGCAGTCTGCTTCCATAAAGATTTGATTTACAGCGTTCGAAACCCTATGGCGCAGTTGTACCCTGTCCTATACGGTTGCTATGAGTCGGAATGGACTCCACGGCAACGTTTTGTTTATATTTTGGGCTTTTTTGTTTTTTGCTAATTTAGCTGGGGACTGAAGGGTGGAGAGGGCTACTGGTAGGGGCGTGTATATATTATAATTTTGGTAATAAAAATGAGCTGTCTGAACCTTCCCTGTGGTGTCCACAAAGGGCCTGGGGGACTCTGGAAGGACTGACCCTCCTACACCTCACTTTCCCCAAGGGACCTAGTGTAGGCGTGCATGGGAGGGCTTGAAGGTGGGTGGTGGTCCATTGGAATGCGTGTTCTTGGCAATGCCAGGTGACAGGAAGGTGCTGCCCAGTCCATCCACAATCAGGTCTTCAGTCCATTCTTGTGTGACACTGCCCCCAGCCTGGCAGTTTTGTGATAGGGATTCCCCATCTCCTACATTAACCAGTCTTCCAACCTTTCATATAAAAAGAGGAGGGAGAAATCAAACTGTTAAGAATGTTTTCATGCACACAGCGTTTCCCAGGTTATATGTTCTTCCCATTGAGGATATGGAAATTCCTGAGATGTGGCAACCCCACCGCCCTCCCCACACCGCCCTCCCCACAGCCACCTTCCTGTCCACCCTTAGGAACTCTCGGAACTGTGGTGGGGGTTGGAGAGGCAGAAGACCCATTTTCAGGGGTGAAGGGTGTCCCCTGCAAATGCCACTGCCCAGAGGGCAACTTGAACGACTGCAGATGCCCCCGACTGAGCACCCACTGTGTGCCAGGCCCTGGCTGGGTATTCAGGACACAACAGTAACAAGACACACAAGAACCATAGGTGCAAAGGCCCTGAGGTGAAATCAAGCTCAGTGTGCAGTGGCAAAACTGTCAAAAATGGGCCCATAGAGGTGGACAGGGGCCGAAACACACCTGGCGTCATGGATGGCGGTGAGGGCTGTGGGATTGATGTAAATCAATGGGGAGCCAGGGAGGGCATGTGAGCTAGGGAGGAACATGATCTGATTTATGCTGGGAGGTGGAGGGACTGTCGGGAAGGAGTGGAGCTGGGGTTAGGACCAGGGTAGGGCCATTGGGGTGGAATGAAGGTAAAGGTCCCCCTCATAAGTTCCTCTCCCGTACTGCATCGCTCCCATGTGTTGGGCAACCCCAGGGGGCCCCAAAATTAAACTCAAACCAGGATCACACAAAAGCCAGCAGATGCCTCACTGAACCTCCCCCCAAACATCTGCTGCTGCCTTTGCTGGGCATGTGCCTTCTCACACCTACAGACTCTTGCAGGAGCTGGTGCCCTGACCAGTATTCCATTTTCTCTCCACTTCTCAAACTCCTATTCATCCTTCAAAACCCACTACAGATTCCCCTTTTCCATGCAGTCGTCTTCAAAATCCTTCAGCCAGCTCCTTGTGGGGACCCCAGCCCCATCCCTCCCTCCAGCCCAGCCTTAACCTCCCAGAACTCAGTGTCTCTATGTCAAGTTATGTCTCCCCTGATTGGGGGCTCTGTTGGGGGGCCAGGCCTGGGACCAGCTGACAGGGAATCCAGTTGAAGCAAGAGTTTGAACAAATTCTGAAATACTCGAACTCTGGGAGTGATGAAATCTGGCTAGGGAAGGAACCAAGGAAGGCTTCTCAGAGGAGGTGGGATGGCACCTGGGCCTTAAAGGATGAGTCAAGTTTTCTCAGAATATTAGAGCTAAAATGGCCTGAGAGACTGCCTCTAATTAACCTGTTTCACAGATGGGAAAACCGAGCCTCAGAGAATTAGTGTCAGAGTCAGGACTTGGACCCATGCCTCCTGATGCTCAGCCCATAGTCTGTTGAAGTTCTAAGAGACAGAACAAGTGGAAGGGGATGGCATTCTGGTGAAAGGAAAGGCATGGGCAAAGGAAGCTTCAGGAAGGAGATGGGCTTAGTTTGGGCAGGTTCAGGGCAGAGGGATGGGAGAGAAGGGTGTGGCAGGCAAGACTGGATCAGGACAGCCCCAAGCCCCAGGCTGAGGGTCTGGGGGCAATTGGGAGCCATGAACGGTGTGTGAGCAGGGGAAGGATACAGCTGATTTGTGGGTTATAGGGAATCCTGGAAGGAGTCTTGGTGGCACAATGGTTAAGTGCTCAGCTGCTAACCGAAAGGTTGGCGGTTTGTACCCACCAGCAGCTCCTTGGGAGAAAAGACGTGGCGATCTACTCCCATAAAGATTACAGCCTAGGAAACCCTTTGGTGGCAGTTCTACTCTGTCCTGTAGGGTTGCTGAGTTGGAATCGACTTGACAGCATCCAACAATTACTCCTGAAGATGGGGCAGAGAGAAGGGAGCAGGGTGGGAAGTCAGGAAATCCCCTCCGCCGTGAGGAATCCACTCTTCCTGAGCCAGCATTCTCATTCACCCCCCAGTGTTTATTGAGTGTCACCTGCATGCAGACAGAAGGGTGATGGCTAGGTTCACACATCATCCCTCCAGTCCCCTCGCCCGGATCTCCCTCTTCGCCTTCTGACCTAGCAGAGGGCCAAGGAGTAGAGTGAAGCCTGGAGACGGGGTTGCAGAGCCTCTCTGGGGCCATAAGGGTGGTCCCTCTACGTCCTCAATCCTCAGATGGGGAGACTGATGCCAGAGAAGAGCCAGAACTCTCCGAGTCACCCAGCAGAGACTAGGAGGGGCAGGGAGAAATCCAGATGTCACAGGCTCAGCGCCCGGAGACCACATACTCCTCTTCGTCCAGAGGGGCCTGGCCCAGCGACGCCAGGTTGCAGTAGATGGGCTGGGAAGTCTGGCTGATGCCCTCGTAGTTCATGTAGAGGTCATCCTCTGGCGAGTGACCCCTGTGGGGACAGACAGACAGAGAGGGGGGATTCAAGGGGCAGGGACATCAGCTCTGAGAGGCCAAGAAAGTTCAACGTGGGAGCCACCTCCCCTAATATTTACGGAGTGGGGAAATGTGACGCAGGGCAGCCCACCTTCCTCCAAAGAAGGAGTGACAGTGATGGAGGGAAGATTCTGTAGAATCAGCATTGTAATGCAAAAGTCCGAGGACCTTCACCCCATACAAGATTTTTTTCCCGTCCTTAAAGTTAAAATAGTTGCCGTTTTTTCCATTAAAATCTAGACTTTGGTTTCCTCTTGAAAAACCAGAAGCTCTGCCCACAGCTGCCAGATGAACACAAGTGGCTGGAGCCAAGCAGTGGCCGCCCGTGTAGTGGGAAACGTGCTCATAGATACCTTGAAGTAACTGACTTTATGACTCTGGTATAAAAATAAATTATGACCTGCAAGTACCACTAGGCTGTGTGACTTGGGGGAAGTGGTTTTGCATCCACAGAAGTGGTCAGGACAGTGGTAGCTCCTTCGGATTTCTAGCTATAGTAGGCAAAGCTCCAGACAAGAACTTTCCTGCCTCCAGAACATCCTAACCTCACCCCATACCCTATTGGCTCTGCTTGTAAAATACCACTTTGGGTAAGTGATAGCTACCAGTCATTCACACTTCAGTATGAATTACTTTGAACACCACAGCTATAGTAGGTGGGTGGGCAGGACCGGAAGTCAGGGTTTATTTGTCTCTCCATTTGCCTCACTATCTAATATTAGGCAAGTCATTCCTTTGCCTCCCTAGGCCTCTGTTTTCACAACAATCAAATGTAGAATGGAAATGACACATCCAATTCTAAGCAGAGTGATTTCGGAGTTTGAAAACATGAGTAAGGCTGGTCTTGTGGCTTTGTGAGCAACCATCCAAAACACAGGCTGCTGCCTTAGTGAGCCCAGGGCCTTCAATTGCTGACCACAGATCACTTCTGCTTTCAATTCATATTTGCATCTGCTTTGCATATACCCTCCTTTCTTTCCCATCAACAACCTCTACCGGCTTCCCTGCCTCCCCATGTGGATTCTGATGTCCAAACACAGCCATGTCCATGTCCCCTTCCTGCTTGGATCCTCCCAGGCTCCTCCAGCCTCAGCCCTCATGTCTCGCCTTTACAAAACTCCTTCACATTCAATTCCTTGTCTCTCCCACCTCCTGGCCTTTCCCCTGCTGGCCTGAAAACCTGAATTTATTTCCATTCCCTGATCCAATCAGAAAAAGTCGAGTTTCTCCCAAGCCCAACAAAATTGTCCAGAGGTGTTGGGACGTCGTTAGGGGCACAGATGACCTCTTTGGTATCCCCTGTGTGTCAAGGGCATCCTATTGGCGCCACTTGTTAAAACTTTCTTTGTTTAAGTGGTGCCTATCAGTGGTTCACACTTCAGTATGAATTACTCAGAACACATAAACTCTCCTGTTTCCCTTCTCAAAGCCACTGACATCAGATTCTTTGTTATCTCCCACATCCAGGACTTTGCGCTTGCTGGTCCTCACACTGGAAATTCTCTCCACTCTCTGAACCAACCATGAAAAGTAGTGCTCATCTTTTTAAGCACAGCAAAACATCTAGAGTTGGCACAGTTTTCTGGTGGGGAGAGGGACATAGACGACTTCTTTGGTATGTCTTGTGAGTCAGCGTAGGGTGGGAAGCTGTACCCATTTTGTGGAGGCATTAACAGAGTTTCAGAGACAGCCCTGGGTTACACGGGGTTTGAGGCCAGGCTGGCCTACTGCTGACCACAGAGCTCCTCTGCCTAGAGCACCTGCCTCCTCTCCCCCTGCTCTTGGCAGCCAGGACAGGGTTTGTGGGTCATGAAGGCGGAAACTTGTCCCATATACATAAACTCGCTTCATTCTTACCTTCAACACTACAAGGCAGGGGCTCTTGCTATCCCCATTTTAGAGATGAGGAAACTAAGCCCAGAGAGCTGAAGCTACTTGCCCAAGATCACACAGCCTGTAAGAAGCAGAGTAGGGATTTGAACGCCAGCTGTCTAGTCCTAGCACTTAAGCACCCTAGGAGGATACTTCCAGAACATCCTAATCCCACCCCATATCCTATGGGCTCTGCTTATAAAATGCCACTTTAGGTTACTGGTATCTATCAGTCAGAGTAATTCATTCTAAAGTGTGAATGACTGATAGATACCAGTAACCTAAAGTGGCATTTTACAAGCAGAGCCCATAGGATATGGGATGGGATTACTCTGAACACAAAAGTCATTGTAGGGGGATGAGCAGGACTGGGAATTGAAGTTTGTTTCTTGCCTCTACTTTTGCCTCACTAGAGGTGGAAGTGTGGGGTCACTCACCCATGTTTGGCCAAGTCGTGCTCCTGGAAGCCAGGCCCAGCAGCCTGCTGGCCCAAAAACATGTTCTCATAGTCAGAAGTGTGGGAGCTGGACAGGGTGACCACTGGGGACTTGGGGTTGAGGCCCTGACTGCTGTACTGTGGCTGCCAGCCCCAGTGGGGCCTGGAATCATCTTTGGTGGCCTGGGCTTTTCCCAGGCCGTGGCTACTGGCCACCCGGCACCTCCGGAGCCTCCAGGCCACCATGGGCCCAGAGATGGCCAGCCCAAGAAGCAGGCATCCACCGGCTACCAGCCCCCCGATGGTGCTCGGGGCCAAGCGGGGGGCACAGCTGGCCTCCAGGAAGGCGGAGAGGTTGCGCCAGGCACCCATGGCCACGTCCAGGCACTGCAGGGGCAGCTGGCCAGAGCAGTTGTCACTCCGGACCTTGTGCCAGACCTCTAGGCTACAGCGGCAGTTGGCTTTCAGGTCCAGGTTACAGCGTGCAGCCAGCGCACCATCCACATGGTCCAGTACGTTGCCTGTGACATCCAGAATCTGCAGCGTCCCCAGGTTCGCGAAGAAGACTGGCGGGAGCTCACGTAGGCCATTTGCAGACAGGTCCAGGGAGATCACTTTGCTGGCCAGCAGAGACTGGTTCCGGGGCAGGCTCAGGCCCTTCTTACTGAAATTCAGGCACATGTCCTGGAACTCCTTGGTCCAGTCCACGTTCCCCGAGAACAGCGCGCAGGAATATTCCTGGGTCCTTGCATCCTGTAGCAGCAGCGGCAACAACAGCACCCACACCAGGGCGCCCCCCATTCAAGCGACCTAGGCAGAGACACCGGAACCCAAGCCCAACCTCAGTCCTGTGGTCACCCTCGTTGCCACTGCCTGCGTTTATTATCATTTTTTTACAGCTCAGACTGCTTCTGAGTAAAACCCTCACCAGGTGGTTCAGGGCTCGTCTAAGCCTCAGTCTCCCTTTCTGGAGAATGGGTGCCTAACCCGCAGCACCTGGCCTAAAGGTCAGCCCTTTCCTCATTTCCCAGACGAAGCCTTTCTGGATTAGTCCACTTCCCCAACATTTCGGGCGCCCTCATTGGTCAAGATGGGACCATATGCAAATGAGCAGTTGCAGTGGAAAGGGCCCTGCCACTGCCCCCTCAACTGTTTCTCCCAGAACTGCGGGCACCCAAAATCTCGGGATAGGTGGGATGGGCTCTGCTGAAAGGTCTGCAGCTCTGGGTTCCGGCCCTCGCACAGAGCCGTGTTCTGGCACCTCTTTCCCACCTGCCCAGTCTCTTCTCAGCGGTGTGGGAGGGCTCTCACCTGGATGCAGAGGCCGGAGTGGCTGCACCCTCTGTGGATCCCTTGTGGTCTCTGGCTGCTCCCTCAGGCTCTGCACCCCTTGACTCAGAGGGAAGAGGAACTGATGGCCGGGCCGAGTGCAAAGAGGAAGAATGAAGAAGAGACAGAGATCCGCGCCCCGCCCACTGCAAGGCCTTCTGGCCCAGGGTTCTCGCCAGAGGGGAAGGGACGGCCTAGGGTCCTTCTTCCCTCTTGCTGGAAACCAGTGATTACATGTCCCCCATTAGCACCCGAAATGACAGACACCTCATCAACTCACTTCCTGGTCACAACACAGTTTATTCCCAACCCATGCTCCCAATTATTCATTCAACAAAGAGCACCAATGCTGGGCCCTGGCCAGGTGGTCAAGGAGCCCGAAGTCTTGGGAGGGGACAGAGCCAGACACAGACACAACTAGCAGTTTCAGGACTGGGCCAGAAAGAGGGACAGGTCCTGGAAACACTTCCTAGAGGAGAGGGCATTAGAGTTGGGGCTTCAGTGTCTGGGTAGGAATTTGCCAAGGATTCCCAAAACCTGCTTTTGGGTAGGGTAGAGTGGAGAGGTGGATTGCCTGGTCTCCTTGAAAGACTTGGAGCTTGCACACTTGTGCAATGATGCCTCCATGCTGGAGGGCGTGTGAGGAGGACTCTATGCAAGAGGGGACATTGAGTCTGGGCCTTGGAGGACAAGTTGCCGTGGCCAGACAGAAATGAGCACGTTGCAGATTCCAGGCAGAAGGCACAGCAGGAACAAAGACCCAAGAGCTTGACAAAGCATAACCAGATGGGCCAGCGTGGTTAGGAGTGGCTGGAGTAGAGAAACTGAGGCGCAGGGCTTTATCTCAGGGCAACAGTGAGCCCAGGAAGGTGTGTGAGCAAGGGAGGGGCACTGTGTTGGAAGGAAAGATCCTTCTGGAGTGAGGCTGGGTGTCTGGAGGTGGGAAACCTGGGGAGGAGGCCAGGCCAGAGACAGACCCGAGAGATAATGACAAAAGTGAGGTTGAGGAGGGAGTGTGTGCAGGGGTACGTGAGGAGGGGCCTAATGGGGGTCCCGGTATCAGACAGACCAGGTTCAAATCCATTCCAGCCCTGACACGCTGTGACCTTAACCTCTCTGTGACTCAGTTTCCACATCTGTAAAATGGGATAAATACTAAGTCTTCCTCTGGATCTAGAAGGCTAGGAGTCCAGTGCCCCCCAGCATCCCCTAGCTTCTTCCTCTCCTCAACCTCCACCTTCCATCTCAAAACTTGGGTGACCCCATGAGCTGAGGCTCTGCAGAAAGGCTGCAAATTCCCTTCAACCCAGCCACGGAGAGGCTCGACCTCACTCTGGCAGAAGTCTGCCAATCATGAGATATCGTTTGTTTTCACCTATCAGATTAGGATACCCTCAACGGTGTGGCCAGGCTGGCAGGAAAGGAGCACCCAAATTGCTGGGGGGAACTTCCATGAAGCAGCCCCAATGGGGTGGTCCCCCTGGCAGAGGTCATCAGAAATATGAGCGAGTGTACCCACAACCCAGCAGTTCCACTCCTGGGAAGTTACCCTCCTCCTACATTTGCATGTTTGGGAAATGACATGAGTATGAACGGATAAACACAATGTGGTCCACTCATACAAGGGACTATTACCCCAAAAACCAAACCCACTGCCGTCAAGTCGATTTCCACTCATAGGGACCCTATAGGACAGAGTAGAACAGCCCCATAGGCTTTCCAAGGCTGTAAATCTTTATGAAGCTGATTGCCACCTCTTTCTCCCAAGGAGCGGCTGCTGGGCTCAAACTGCCAGCCTTTCAGATAGCAGCTGTGTGCTTAACAGGACTATTACTCAGCCGTAAGAAGGAATCATGCCCTGATTCATACTACAACATGGATAAACCTTGAAAACACGATGCTCAGTGAGAGAAGCCAGTCACAGAAGACCACATAGTGTATGATCCCACTTACGTGAAATGTCCAGAACAGGCAAATCCATAGAGACAGAAAGTAGATTAGTGGTTGCCAGGGGCTGGAGGGAGGGGGTGGGGAACGACTGCTAATAGGCATGAGGTGTCCTTTTAGGGTGGTGAGAACATTCTAGAACTAGACAGAGGTGGTGGTTGTGCAGCATGGTGAATGTATTTAATGCCACTGATTGTGCACTTTAAAATGGTAGTTTTGGTGTTATGAGTATTTTACCACAATAAAAAAGAGAAAGTTGTTGTTGTTGTTTTAGGTGCCATCCAGTCAGTTCCAACTCATAGCGACCCTTTGTACAACCGAAGGAAACACTACCCAGTCCTGTGCCATCCTCGCAATCATTGTTATGCTTGAGCCCATTGTTGCAGCCACTGTGTCAATCCATCTCGTTGAGGCTCTTCCTCTTTTTCGCTGACCCTCTACTTTATCAAGCATGATGTCCTTCTCCAGGGACTGGTCCCTCCTGATAACATGTCCCAAGTCTCACCGTCCTTGCTTCTAAGGAGCATTCTAGCTGTACTTCTTCCAAGACAGATTTGTTCATTTTTCTGGCAGTCCAAGATATATTCATTATTCTTCGCCAACACCATAATTCAAAGGCATCAATTCTTCCTTGGTCTTCCTTATTCATTGTCCAGCTTTCACAGGCATATGAGGCAACTGAAAATAACATGGTTTGGGTCAGCAAAGTGACATCTTTGCTTTTTAACACTTTAAAGAGGTTTTTTGCAGAAAATTTGCCCAATGGAATACGTTGTTTGATTTCTTGACTGCTGCTTCCGTAAGCATTGCTTGTGGACCCAAGTAAAACGAAATCCTTGACAACTTCAATCTTTTCTCAGTTTATCATGATGCTGCTTATTGGTCCAGTTGTGAGGATTTTTGTTTTCTTTATATTGAAGCGTAATCCAAACTGAAGGCTGTGGTCTTTGATCTTCATCAATTTAAGTGCTTCAAGTCCTCATCCCTTTCAGCAAGCAAGGTTGTGTCACCTGCATATCGCAGGTTGTTAATGAGTCATCCTCCAATCCTGATGCCCTGTTCTTCTTCATATAGTCCAGCTTCTCAGATTATTTGCTCTGCATATAGATTGAGTAAGTATGGTAGAAAGATACAACCCTGACCTACACCTCTCCTGACTTTAAACCACACAGCATCCCCTTGTTCTGTTCTAAAGACTGCCTCTTGGTCTATGTACAGGTTCTTCATGAGCAAAGTTAAGTGTTCTGGAATTCTCATTCTTCGCAGTGTTATCCATAACTTGAATGCCTTTGCATAGTCAATAAAACACAGGTAAACATCTTTCTGGTATTCTCTGCTTTCAACCAGGATCCCTCTGACATCAGCAGTGATATCCCTCGTTCCATGTCCTCTTCTGAATTCCGCTTTGATTTCTGGAAGTTCTCTGTTGATGTACTGCTACAGCCAATTTTGAATGATTTTCAGCAAAATTTTACTTGTGTGTGATATTAATGACATTATTCAATAATTTCCGCATTCAGTTGGTCACCTTTCTTGGGAATAGGCACAAATATGGATCTCTTCCTGTTGGCTGGCCAGGTAGCTGTCGCCCAAATTTCTTGGCATAGACGAGTGAGCACTTCCAGGGCTGCATCCATTTGTTGAAACATTTCAGTTGGTATTCTGTCAATTCCTGGAGCTTTGTTTTTCATCAATGCCTTCAGTACAGCTTGCACCTCTTCCTTCAGTACTGTCAGCTCTTGATCATAAAAAAGAGGAAGAAAAGGCAAAAAAAAAAAAAAAACCACATGTACATGGTGATTCATTATAACATTGTTATTTGAAGCCATTGGAAACAACCTGAAGGACTGGTTAAATCAGTAACAGTTCACAGACTCCTAAAAGCAAAATTATGCATCTCTAGGAATCCCCGAGTGTTGCAAACAGTTAGCAAACACGCTGCTAACCAAAAGTACGGAGGTTCAAGTCCACAGAGACATGCCTCAGAAGAAAGTCCTGGCAGTCGGCTTCTGGAAAACTAGCCATTGAAAACCCTCTGGAGCATAGTTCCACCCTGACACACATGGGATTGCCAGCAACTGGTTAGGAGCTGATAAGAAAAGACTCATTCTTTCCTTCCACAAACATTCATTAAGCTCCTACTGTGTGCCAGGCACTAGTCTCAGAGCAGCAGATACAGCCATGGGCAAAATAGACTCCCTTCTCCCTGTGGGGTTTGTGGTTTCTTTGGCGAGACAGACAATGTACAAGATCTATCAGTAAAATAAGTAACACGCCAGGTAGTGGTGAGTGAAACAGACAAGTAAAACTGGGAAGGGGACAAGAAGGGGGGACAACTCTGTTATGAGACCATCAAAGAAGCTCTTACTGAGAAGAGGACATCTGAGTAAGGAAGTGATGGAGGGGCCATGTGAGGATGTGGGGGAAGGGCATCCCAGGAACAGGAACAGCCCTTGCAAAGGTCCGGAGGTTGGAGCAGATGTCACCAAGATAAAATGTGAAATGAAAAGAGCGAATAATAAGAGTCCAGATTTCATTTGAAAAAGAAACTCTGGGTTACACGCAGGAAACGAACACCTGTGGTTGCCTCTTAGCAGAAGGCAGTGGGAAGAGACTTTACCATGGTTTTAGAATCATATCAGATCATACGACTGTAAATCATTCTCAACAAATTCAGTTAGAAAGTGGAAACCAACCCACAGCCGCACATGTGACCCAGCAGGTGTTGAGGACCAGATGGAGGGACGGAGGAGCTCCAGCCAGTGTGGGTATGGATGCCGGAGGGTGTCCCCCACACCCCAGAAGGCAGCTGGTGGGAGGGTCAGTAGGTTCAGCCCCAGGGCCTCTCAGAAAAGGGGGAAATGGGGAAATGAGGAAGCGCCACACCCTCAGGCTGCAGAAGGTGGAGACATGGAGCCTGGAGTAATGGGGCCTGGAGTTGGGGTAGGGGGCTTGGGGTCTGGGGGACCATGAGTCTGAGAGACCTGAGGGCTGTGGGACCTGGGGTCTGGAGGTGGGGTAGGTGTCCTGGGGTCTGAGGGACCCAGGGTCTGGGGATCGGGGATCTGGGGGAAATGGGATTGGGGGACCAGGG